AATAAATAAATAAATAAAATAAATAAATAAAATAAATAAATAAATAAATAAAATAAATAAATAAATAAATAAATAAATAAATAAATAAATATACATACTGTTGTGGATAAATAGAATGAATAAGAAGATGAATTTTTTTTAGCCAAGGAGACACCCCAAGAGACACAACTTTTATTAATATATTTTTTTTTTCTTCCTCTGTTAGTACTCCTTCTCCTGCTGCTGCTGCTGCTGCTGCTGCTGGTGCTGCTGCTGCTGCTGCAGCAGCAGCAGATGTACCCTCCATTAAGGGATAAGGAGGGACAATTGCATCTAATTGTGCTGCAGATACACCCGAGAGGAGCTGCATAGACACCCCAAATCCTCTTCTTCTGCTGCTGCTTCCTCCTCCTCCTTGTCTTGTTGTGTCTTCTTGCTGCAGTTGCTGCTGCATTTGCTGCTGCTGCATTTGCTGCTGCTGCTGTGATTCAGCTACACGATTCAAGTACATACATACCTGTTGCTCACCACTTCCATACATGCTCCCTCTCCTGTTGCTGCTGCTGCTGCTGCTGCTGCTGCTAGTCCCAATGCTGCTGCTGCTGCTGCTGCTGCTCGAGGTACTGTGGGGTATCTGGTACTCTGTCTTAGTACAGTAGCAGAAGGCCCCACACCCTCTGCAGCAGTTCATGCTGCTGCTGCTGCTGTTGCTGCTGCTGCTGTTGCTGCTGCTGCTGCTGCTGCTGGGTATACAAGGCCTTATATTTAATGTGTCTCCTCCTAGCAGCAACTTACTAGGAGGAAAAGGGAGTCTCCTTCCTATTAATCTTGTGTCTTCTGCTGTATGGTGCTGCTGCTGCTGCTGCTGCTGCTGCCTAATAACACCAAAGATAGAGGAGGCCCTTGTGTCTCCTTCTATTACTAATTTCTCTGTCTCTGCTGCATGCAGCAGCGAGCGCATGCGCGAGAACGAGTGTAGCCATTTGTCCTCTCCTGCTGCTCCTGCTGCTGCTGCAGCTGCTGCTGCTGCTGCTGCTGCTGATTGGGGGGAAGACGCAGAACGAATGGCTACAGGAGAACGATCTACTGCTCCTGCTGCTGCTGCTGCTGCTGCTGCTGCTGGGAGAGTTGCATGCTCCATAGGAATACCGCTAGATCCACCATAGCTGTCACTCCTTCTCCCACCCTCCCGCTGCTGCTGCTGCTGCTGCTGCTGCTGCTGTTGCTGCTGCTGTTGCTGCGGGCTATAGGATTCATCAGGAGAATCATAAGCAAATCTGCTGATGCTGCTGCTTCTGCTGCGGCTGTGTCTGTCTATCCGTCTGCGCAGCCATCTATGATGCTGGTGCTGCTGCTGCTGCTGCTGGTGCTGGTGCTGCTGCTGCAGTGCAGCCAATGGATGCATGCCTACCCTGTTGTTTGTAGCCTCGCTCTCTGCTGCTGCTGCTCTTGCTGCAGCATATGCTGCCTCTGTTATCTGTGCTCTTGCTGCTGCTACCTCCTGATCAGAAGAAGATGCTGCTGCTGCTACAGCAGCAGCATTAGATGCAGCAGCAGCAGCAGCAACTGCTGCTGCTGCTGCTGCTGCACTACCTGCATTACGCCCATCAGCTAGCAGCTGCTGCTGCTCCCTAGCTAGCCGCTGCCTCTTTGCCTCTAGGCGACGGCAAGATATATCCGTTTGCTGCCTCTGTCTGTTGCTGCTGCGCTGCTGCTGCTCCTCATCTGCTGCAGCAGCAGCAATCCTTTGCTGCTCAATAGCAGCAAGACGCGACAAAAACTGCCACAGGGCTTCATGAGGCTTCTTTGGCTTCGCATACTGCTGCTGCTGCTGCTGCTGCTGCTGCTGCTGCTGCTGCTGCTGCTGTGGGGCTGCTGCCAGCAGCCTGTGTCTGTCCGTGATGGGGAGACGATCCCACCATTGCCATACAACAGAGAAGACCTCTAATAAGAAGAAGAGCTGCAGATACACCCGAGCAGCAGCACGAGTATCCTCAGGTGTCTCGGCAGGTTGCAGCAGCAGCCTCTTACGTTCCTCCTCTTCTTGCTGCTGTTTAGATGGTTGCTGCTGCTGCTGCTGCACTAGCTGCTGACGATGTAATACACCATAATGCTGCTGCTGTGTTAACATAAATAGCTGCTGCTGTCTAGCCATCTGCTGCCGCATCTGCTGCTGCTGCTGCAGGTGGCGACCAAGCAGCTGCTGCCTCTGCTCCTCCTGTCTTACCAGCAGCTCGCGTAGCTGCTCTTGTGCTGCATCCGCAAGCATGCTCATCCTGCTGCTGCTGCTGCTGCTGCTGCTGCTGTCGGGGGCAGCAGAATGACCAGGAGAAGCAACAGGAGCTGTGTCTGCATGCATAGCAGCTGGTGTTGCTGTTGCTGCTGTTGCTGCTGCTGGTGTTGCTGCTGTTGGTGTTGCTGCATCTCCTACCCGAGGAACGGTCACAGCAGACTGTTGCTGCTGCCCTTCTCCCTGCTGCTGCTGCTGCTGCTGTTGCTGCTGCTGCGGTCGACTGCTATCTTCTTGAAGGACAGGAGCGCTTGTGCCTGTAGGTAATCCAGCAGCAGCAGCAACAGCAGGAGGAGGAGGAGGAGGAGGAGCAGCAGCAGGAGGGGCAGGTTGGTGTTGCTCCTGTTGCATGCGCTGTTCCCTCCTTTGTGCTTCCATACGTTCTTGATTCAATAGTAGTTGTTGCTGCTGCTGCTGCTGCAGCAGCAGCAGATAAGGAGGTTGATGTTGCATCTGTCTTTCCTGCTGCAGTCGTCTTTGCTGCTGCTGCTGCTGCTTGAATGTAGGTAAATGTTTCCTGCTGCTGCTTGGTGCTGCTGCCTCTACTGCAGCAAGAATATTTTCTTGTATATCCTTATCTTCTCCTTGTGTCCCTTCTTGGTAGCATAGATCTGCATGCAGCCCCAAGATAATTCTTGTTAATAAAAAGAAGCGAGAGGAAGGATGTCTTATTGCTGCTGCTAATACAGGATCAACAGAGCAGCAAGAAGAAGGAAGCAGCAAACATCCAGCTACTGCTGCTGCTGCTGCAGCTGATATACGTCTTTCTCCTCCTTCAATACCTCCTGCTGCTGCATCTCCTCCTCCTGCTGCAGCATTTGCTGCTGCTGCTGCTTCTACTGCTGCACTTGCTGCTGCTAGAGGATCATGTACAGCAAAAGGATTGTTGCGTGGTGTATCCTCATTTATCCCGAAGTTGCTGCTGCTGCTGCTGCTGCTACTACTACTACTACTACTACTGCTGCTGCTGCTGCTGCTGGTGCTGCTGCTGCTGCGTGTACCAAAAGGGCAGCAAAGTAATGGTACCCCTAGCAGCAATAACTGCTCAAGATCTAATTTATATAGATCTAATACACTAACATTACTACCATCAATAGGTATCTGACGTAACATATCCGTAAAGTGTATATACACCGCATGCAATGCATGCAATGCCTCTACCCGCCAAGAAGAAGACACAGATGGTGTACGTAAGCATACCTATACAACAACAAATTGCAACAGCAGCAGCAGCAACAGCAGCAGATGCAGCAGCAGCAGATGCAGCAGCAGATGCAGCAGCAGACATACAAATTCAACAGATCAAGAAAGATGAATTTGTACAGCAGCAACAGCAGCAGCAGCAGCAGCAGCAGCAGGAAAAAAACAGCAGCAACACGGGTATCAATCTAATCAGGACGAGGAGGAGCAGCAGCAGCCATAACAGCAGCAACAACAGCAGCAACAACAGCAGCAGCAGCAGCAGCAGGAGGAGGAAGTAGTAGTACCTCAGCAGATTCAATAGTATCTGCAAATATTTTAGCAATAACAGCAAGAGGATGACCAATCAACCAACGACGGGATATACTCCACTTCTTAGATAGAGGCTGCTGCTGCTGCTGCTGCTGCTGCTGCTGCTGCTGGTGATGGTACTGGTGATAGTGCTGCTGATGGTGCTCTCCTGCTGCTGCTGCTGCTGCTGCTGCTGCTGGTGATGGTGCACCTCCTGGTGGACGATAAGATATATTCCTGAATTCATCCTCATCTATAGGCAGCAGCAACTCAGCATATCTGTGCTGCTGCTGCTGCTGCTGCTGATAAGCTTGCTGCTGATGCTGCAGCATATCCATTGCTGAATAAGAATTTGGTGCCCTTTGCTGCTGCTGCTGCTGTTGCTGCTGCTGTCGCTGCTGCTGTTGTTGAGGTTGTGTATTGATCTCTTCTACATCAACAGGAGACGATTGAGCAGCATCTCCTGCTGCTGCTGCTGCTGCTGCTGCTGTTGCTGCTGCTGTTGCTGCTGCTGCTGGTGGTGGTGGTGTAGCAGCTTGGTGCTGCTGCCTGTTGCTGCCATCATATCCAGTGTATATAGTATTGAATGTAATAGGAGTACGTTGTGGTGTTAATTCAGCTGCTGCTGCTGTAGTAGCAGCAGCAACAGCAGCAGCAGCAGCTTCTCCTGCTGCAGCAGTTGCTGCCATAACAGCAGCCTCAGGACGCAGCAGCATAGGAGCAGGAAAAGAAAAAGGAGACACTCTTGTAGATAATCTACATATACTTATTATCTCGTTAACAGCAGCAGCAGCAGCAGGAAGGGGACACACCATATGATGACACTGCAGCGGCAAACCTAACTCTTGCTGCACATATTTCCTTCTTTGCTGCTGCAGCAGCAAACGGCATTGCAGCTGCTTTCTTAATTCTATCCATGAACAACCACCTATAATTTCTTCTTCTCCTCCTCCTCCTCCTCCTCCTCCTCCTCCTCCTCCTGCTGCTGCTGCTCTTGCTGCTGCTGCTGTACTATCTTCTAATAAAGGAGGAGAACCACGAAGACCCCAAGCACCTGGTTGTACATCATCATCATCATCAGCAGCAGCAGCAGCAGCAGCACCAGTAGCATCCTCAATAGTAGCAGGTGCTGTTGCTGTTCTTCCTCCTCCTCCTGCTGCAGCAGCTTGTCTTTGTGTATGAGAGTACTGTAGGTAACACTGTAGATGCATGCGATGCCCACAACTCTTAATAGGAAGAG